TGTATATACTGCTGTACAAGGGGAAAAAATTACAGCAACAGAGCCATGCTACCTTAAAGTCCAAGCTACAAATTCAAATTAAAATGAACATTATGTAGAATAGGAAACAAAAAAGGGACAGGTTGCTCTTCATTTTAATCAAGTTAAGATTGGATGGGGTGTGTTTTGTTTCTCCCCTCCCCTCCTTCGGTGGGAGGAGAAACAGGCAATGTGAATTAAAAACTCCCAATATCCCGTGAGTGAAATTCTGGCCCTCTGTTCAAGTCAGTAGCAAAAAAGAAAAGTATGCCAGGATTTCATGCCAAGCTCTTTCCAAACTTTTAGATCAATTTTGAGATCCAAACACCACGGAAACAAGCAGAGAATTTCTCATAGAGTTTCCTGGTCTCTGGTTTTCGCAAGATTGTTTTAAAAATTAACTTTTAACTTGAGGCACAAAGCAGCATTTTCCAATGCTTTCTCCATGGAGGTGTGTAAAGAATCCACCACAGTACTTGAGTGGTGCTTTTCAATCCCTGTGTACACCATTCTGCTCCTACATTTTGGTTTTTGCTAACTCCAAGGCATTGTTTGGAAGGGGACGTTTGGAACAAAATGATGAGATGCTGAAGATGGGGCTTTTTGCCTGCTCACCTTGACTAAAATAAAGATGCAGCTGAGCCTTCTGTGCTAAAATTAATTGTTTTTAAAAACAAACAAACGAACCCAAATCCTTTGAAACAGATTTCTAGATGAGTGAGGGAACTAAAATGAACCTTAGCCTAGGAAGCCACTTCAGAAACATACCAGGTTCCACACAAGTTGTGCTATGGGCCACTGGGGCTTTTCAAAAGGTATAGAAACATCTAAAACATATTCACACAGGTTATCAATTTTTTTCTTCTGAGCATTCTTTTTTAAAAAAATATTTTTTCTCTTAGTAAAATCATTTTATTATACCATGCCTCCCTCTTTTTTATTTTAAAAAATAAATTAAAAAAATCCAGTTTTGCATATCTAGCGTTAGCATTTAAGGTAGTATGGCACACCCTCTTTATAAAAGTCAAAGGGTGGGGGAATCTATAAAATGCCGCAGCGGTTTTGCTAGCATTTTTTTCCTTCTTCTTCTTCTTTTTTTTTTTAACATTGTGAGACCTTTGGTTAGTTGAAACCACATGAGATCAGCAGAAAGAAAAAACACAAAAAGAAAATTTAAGTTTTAAAAAAACACCTGCCCAAAATTATTAGCATTTCGTTTTGTCTTAAATAAGAGAAAGTTCTATCCTTACTGGTCCTAAATCTGAATAACTACATCTATGTATTTAACCTTAATTACGATACAACTACCAATATGTACTAGAAGAGGAAGAAAGAGAAGAAAAGAGAAGGGGTTGGGGGTTGTCACTACACTAGCATCAGGACAGCACTCTTACAAGATAGTCATTTTTATACATTATTAACATACAACAATGATCAAATAATCTGCTATGAGGTGACAGGGAATGAATGACGAGGAGGAAAACATGGTAGTATACAGTACAGGCACACGCTCCCGGGAACTCCTCACAGGAAAGCTCCATTGAAATGAATGGGAGCTGCGCAGAGCTCCTGGGAGGGAGAACTTGACATCATTTGAAAGGAGCCTTCAGAGAAGTCGTCCCTGATAGGTGGTACTCTGATGTCATCAACATTGATTAAAGAGTAATAAAAAAAAAAAAATTCCCTGACTTTTTTTTTTTTACACACTTGACTCTCAGGGAATTTGGTTTGCAGTTAATTACTTTTCTTCCTTTATTATTATTAATAGTATTATTATTATTATTTAGTGTACTACTTGATCAAGTCTCAATTTTAAAAAGCGTCCAGCATTCTGGCTTTTAAACCTGGTTGTTTTGAAATAAAATAATAATAATAATAATACAACCAAAGACATTACACAACCAACCAACAAACAAAAAACAACCCAAAACCAACAACAAACAAAGAAACCCATGTTTTTTGTTGTTTAAAAACAAGACCCTCCCCCCTCCTTATGGTTAGCATTATGGTGCCTCGGTGAGTGTTCAAAGATGCTTTGCTCTAACTTGTCTATTGAACAACTATGTTAGCCTACTTGTTAGTAAAGTTTTACAAAAATAGGAGCGCAGCAGCTTTTTTTTCTCTTAACAAATGTCGCATTCAGTGTCTTATTCTGGCTGTACCTAGAGTACCAAATTTATAAACGTAACAATTTAAAAAAATATTAATAAACCTTGTCAATATTAATGTTAAAAAAAAGAATATATCCACACTATAGTTATGCTTGTAATATCACCTACTGTGTTGTACTTCGAGTTGCTGTTGCTGGCCTATTTGACCCATATTTAAAAAATTAAATTAAAAAATATCCTTCATAAGACTCCTCCCCAGCAGAGGACCATATATATAACAGCCAAACATTAAACATGTGCAAATTGGAAATTGTCAGTTTTTCCCTACCAGTCACAGTGCAATGATGTTTTTTATACATATTTTTTTTCAAATCTGTTTTCATCTACAATAAATTAAATCTTCTCTTGCGTCTAGGGTGATAAACTTGTAGCACTGAGGTATTCAGAACAATATTTTCTTTTTTAAAAAAAAAACAACAACTTTGCTTTCCCTAATTTGTTAATATAGGAAAGAATGGATGAGGTGAGAAGATGCAAGGCTTAATTTGCACCCCCTGCCCACAGCGTGGGAGCTTCCAAGTGGACTCGCTTGGCCAGAGAGCTATAGAAGGCGTCAGGGTGGCTGAAATGGATGGACAGTCAGTCAGGTGATCTAAAGAATGGTTAAAAAAAGTGTGCTTGGATTTTTAAATACCGTCTTAAATATTATATTTGTAGCTTTTTCAATCTTGGGGAAAGCAGTCCCCCCCCTTCTTAACTTAAAAATGTAACTAGACTGTTACTTTATAAGCTGTGCACAGATGTCTAGTTAATATGCTGGTATGACGCTAGTACAGTTATAAGGTCTAACACCTACAGAGCAAGCTAAACAGTGTTGATCTAACTGCTATGGGCCAGCTCTGGCAGTCGATCTCAAACGTTTAAAAATGTCAGGGTGCAACCCACTGGGAGCTTTGCCGTTCCATGTGCTGGCGAGATGAATGGGAGCCAGGAAGGGCAGTTCCCTGCCCTTGGGTCTCTTCTGTTCACTTGCAGAAGAGAAGCTTCCAGCAGATTGGGGGCCCCTAATCTTTGTCTTTTTCTTCCGTTCAGTACAGAAACTGCCTTAGTCTGACTCCATCACAAAAATATTATGCATTTCTCTTTTTTAATAGTTTATATGTAAGTTAATGGAATTGTATTTACAGTATTATTATTTTTTCAGAAATCACAATTTCAAAAAACCTTATATCGCCTCTTTTTCAACAACAAAAAAATGCACTTATAGAAAAAGGACGCACAAAAAACTTTGTAGTCCTTGCCTTATTGCCGAAAATAGATATAATTAGGTTAACTAATACAAAGAACTGCTAGAGATCTTGTTACTGAGCCAGCCTCCCATTCCCTATACAGCATAAATAGAATATGTCCGCTCACTTGTCTTGCTTGCTCTACTTCTAAATTCAGTGTGTGCTAAATTCCACCTGAAAAAAGTTTTTTTAGCTTCAGAATTGGTACCAGTCAACTGAGAATCGTGTTACCACTTCAGCTTCTTTTAAGCGACGAAAGTACATAAAACAAAATAAAGGGGTGGGAGGTTATTAAAAAGCAAAGCCAAAAAAAAAAAAAAATCCTCGTAATATATAAACAGTTATATTATGGTTAGGCTTTTTCTAAATACACAAAGTAGTAGGTCTACGTGACTACAAGCCTATGTCAAAATACTACAAAAGAGTGATTAAAATAGATTTCAAAGGGGAAAAAACATCAAGAAAAATAATAAAATGAACAAAATGGATTATATATATATACACATATTCTTTTCTTTAAAAAGCTGTTGTTCTATATAGTACAGCAGGTTCGTGAGATGATAGAGATTGTGGACAACCCAAGTCCGCTGAATGCCACCTCCAGTTTGTGTGGGTTATTGGTGATGATGCAATGCTCAAAGTCTGATTGATGATGTATCACCTAAACATGGAACCATTCAGAAACTTCGCCCTGTCTTGCCTGGACATCCAGATATACTCTACAGCGCGTTTTTTGAAAAGGAAAAAGAGAGGGAGAGAGTGTGAATAGATAAAAACAGCAACAATTATAGCCAACACTTCAGAGACATGTTACTAGTTCTAGGGGCCTTTTTATGGGTTTTATGGTCACACGTTGAATGTGGTGTACCTGGGATGTCATTTGTTTCCCAACAGGCCACCATACGTCTGTGTTAAAGGGCAAGGGACTTATGCATGTTGATATCCAGAGCTTTGTGTAACCAACCGTGTTAAGAATATCAAAATGCTGCACCGCATCAGCTCAAGTTCAGAAACAGGGAAAGTGGAATTCTGGCGCTTACATACACTATTCAATTATGTCGTATGCCTCCTTATTCTGTGATTCACAGGGAGCTATTCGGCGTGCACAAGTCCCCTCCCCTGACCGGTGGAAAGCAGATTTAGCCTCCCCACACCCAACTTCTGATATGTTAGCGGGCACGGCTTCCGGGTATAAGGTTAGAATTTAATCTTTTTTCTTTTTTTTAAAGAAAGCTGAAATTCTTAGGGAATCTGATTTCGGTGGCTAATATCAAATTCTCCAGCTTTCTGCCGCTCTAGTGGCACCGCAGCATACACATAGGAGTCTATTATTCTTGTGGTAACTGCACCTATCTGCCGAGAAACGTGATAGGGAAAGAGGAACTGGGGTGATTGAGACTCTTAGGCAAATGGCCTACAAGGGGAGCTAAATGGTAACTTGCACATAATATGAATTACCCTTAGAACAGAAACAGGGAGCTAATGCTGCAAACAGGGACTCTCTGCTTCTAGGTCCATGCAAGAAAATCAGGGTTATGTTAAGTGCCAGGGATGTTAATATTGACAATAACTTGGTCCTAGAGCCATAGCTCAGTGGCAGAACACATGCTTTGTATGCAGAAGGTCTCAGGTTCAACTTCTGACATCTCCAGGTAAGGCTGAAACCCTGAAATACTGCTGCCAACCCGTGTAGATAGCACTGAGCCATATGGTCCAATGTGTCTGACTCAGTATAAGGCACCTTCCTATGTTCCAAGTGTTGTCTTCCTTTTAAGGCCGTGCACTGTGGAGCCACAAGGTCCTCAAAATTAAGAGTTCAAGGCAAACCCTTTAAAATTTTTATAGGTTGGAGTTACTTGTAAGTGAGAAGAACTTCTGTTTCCTTCGGGTTCTTGGAAGGAAGTCATGGGTCTGAGATGCCTCCTCCTACTGCGTGTTGCCCCCAAAGGGTTTTTCTTCATACCATCATTATGGACTTTGGAGACATTATCCCTGTTGGCCAGCTTCTCCACCCACAACCTGCCCCTGCATGTTTATCATGGATTCCTGGGGGAATCTACTGCTGGTGCATTCAGCTTTCCCATCACCTTAGGCAGGAAGTAGTGTCACTTGTTGACTAGTTTGTGTGATGGTTTATGTTTTCCTGGTATGCCCCATTCAGCTTTTCATAACTCTTGAATATGGAGATTGATGCATGGCCATGCAGTGCCGCTGGTCTGGAAAGGGAGCTTTTGGCTTCTTACAGCAGTTCCAGGAGCCTCCTTGCTTTCACCTCTCAGGAGAGGGAACACTCAAGAGAGCCTCTGCCCTAGGCATTCTAACTTCCTGCTGTATGCCTTCTTGAACAGGCTGGCCTTGCTGGTTCCATGCCTTATGGAATGTGCCACTAAGATGGACCACTTGTGTACAGAAGATGGAGAATAGGAAAGAGGAGGAAGAAGAGGAAGAAGAGGGCAGAAGGAATGCTGACTTAGTGCACCATTCTTCCTTCAATGGGGCTTAGGTACATATTTATCCCTTTCCAGTCCTGGACAGGGGGACTGCAATGGTAGGGAAGGGCCTGTTGCTGGTGAGGACCTGGCAACCTGCATCTCTCTGACCAGTACCCCTGTAAAACGTTTGAGAGTTCCTTTTCCCCAGCAAGCGCAGTATTGAGAGGACTTAAGCCCTCCACTGACAGTTCACTTGCAGCCCAGGGCTTTAGACTTCCTTGGACGTGGCTTGGTGGGCTCTCCTGTTCACCTGCTTCAGAGGCCTCTGGTTCCTACAACACGTTTCCCTTTGAGGGTGACTTTGCCCTGCTGTGGGGCATAGTGTTTGGCTCCTGATGCCAGCCAAGGCTGAGGTGCGGGTGGGGAGAGATCCAAATGGGCTCTGCAGGCTTCTCCATCACCTCAGTGAATCTCATGGTGCCTGCTTGCTGTGATGAGCAATTACGCCAACCCTCTCAGCCATATGGGCACAATCTTCTCCACTGTCCCACTTGGGGCTCCTCTCTCTCTCTGCCTCCTCCTCTTCTTCTGTGCAATTGTGCCAGTGTGAACCACAAACTTCCTGTGCTACAGGAACAGCCTTCCAAATGCCCCCAGTTTCTAACAGCAGATGGGGAGTGAAAGGGGAGGCAGGGAGAGAGAGAAAAGCACAGAAGAAGGGAATACAGAAGACAAGCTAGGAGCTCAAGTTGATCCCAACCATCCAGCTCATGAGGCAGGGTGGTCTGGTGAGAAGGATGTTCCCTCCCCCTGGTTAGTATCATCTAATTGGGGCCATAATTGGATCCAGCCAGAGGGAGGAGCCATCCCAGACACATGGCTGCTCTCCAGGAACCTGTGGGGGAACTTCATTTACACATTTTTTTGAAAAGTAAGAGATGTGGTTGGCAAACAACTTGGATGAAAAAACATGCCAATAGTTGATGTAAAGTCTTCCTTTTTCTGAAACAAACAGGCCCTCTTCACATGACTTCAAAACCAAGTATGAAGGTGAAGCTGTGCTCTTTGATGCAGGTGGTGGTGCATTGAAGGGCAAAAATAAAGAGTGTGGCATGAAAAGGGAAGAGAGAGTGGCATGTAACTAAGCACCATGGTGGAGTTAAGAAAGAGCCATGCTGAATTTGTAATAATGACTTGGATATGGAAGTGATTGTTATTGAATCCCACCGGTACCTAATTTTTTATTTTTCTTACTGGCTTCAGCGAATATAATCAGTGAGAATGAGACAACTAAATAGCGCGTGTTCACACTGCCTCTCTAAAAATTAACTTCATGTTTCTATCCACCAAGCTCTTTATTCATTCTACTTGGCCTGGTACCAGAAGGGATACCCTCTCCCAACACACCTGAAATCAGGCCTCACATATCAAGAAGTTCCCTAGAAGATGTTCTCAGAGCAAGGCCCTGGGTTTAAGGCAGCAAAAGGCATTTGTGGCAAAGTCCTCCTTGAAAAGAACAGAGCGAAACTTGAGTCACAGCTGACTCAAATCATGCTGGTGTCAGGAATTAGCCATGGCTAGTTTGTTTGTTTGTTGTTGTTTTTTTGCCAGTTTGTGCCCACTCGGCTATCAGGCTTTGGGTCTGTTTCAAGCAAGGCCTCTCTCTGGAAACCTCTTGAGTAGCTTGGCTTTTCCAATAGGCTTATGGGAAGCTGTCAGACAAGGCAGCTGCAGTGGTCTTGGTGTTTAGGGGGAGACGTGAAAAATACAGGTTGGAGTGGAAGCTATGAACCAGTAAATCGTGGTTCAAATCTTAGCTCAGCCATGAACTGAGCTATGCTAGTATCTCTGCTTCAACTGCGATCTGATCTGCAGTTCTACCTACCTACCATGCAGGGCTGTTGTGAGAATTACTGAAACGTTGTGTGCGAAGGACTTCACTGACTCCAATGCTAAGCATAAAAATAATGATCAGCAGAACTATGTGGACTGAATGGTACAAACTTTATGTAATTGGGAACAGGTTAGGAAAGGCCATTCCAGGGCCTGTTATTGCCTGAAGATGTGTGTTTGTGTGGTTGGCAGAAGAAACAAGGATTGCTGCAAAAGATATTCTCAACAAGGCTCACAGAGGACTAGACATCTCTGAAGCTACAGTAGAAGATACCTAGTGGAGTGAAGAAAACATGGCGCACAAATTACAGACATGCTCTTCATTTGAAATGGGCTTATTTCAGCCACTGCTTATTGCCTTGTTAATGGCGGTTACAGCGCTCATGTGGGTACTGGGTGAATTAATGTCGTATGGTTACCTGGTTAACACTTGTTAGCACCAAAACACCATTTTAAACTGCTCATGTAGTGTTTTTTCTGTGAGTAGCAAGACTGCATTTGGACCTGGTTGCTATTAGTAACTTTAACATAATAAGCAAGCAACCGTTAATGGCACCAGTTTGAGACCCTGATTCACTTAGAATGGTGTCCTGGTTTTCTTTTTGTTGTATCTGACTGCCAGTCACTGAGATCATACTCCACAGAAACATATGTAACTGCCTTATAGTGAGTCAGACCATTGGTGCATCCACCTCAGGCAGCAGCTCCCCAGGATTTTAGGTGGGCAAATATTTCCCAGCCCTACCTGGAGATGCTGGAGATTGAACCAGGGACCTTTTGCTTGCAGGGCAGATGCCTGACCACTGAATTATGACCCTTCCCCAACTGCATGTTCTAAAGGTTAGTGACGAGTACAGAATTTATTTATTTCAGTACATGTAAATACCCTGTCTTTCTTCCACCATAGAGCTCAAGCTGGCATATATGGGATCCTCAGGCACTAGCCAGACTCAGACCTGCTTAGTTTCAGCAAGCTATCTTTATCGCGTGCCCTCAAATCACACTCTGGGTATGAAGGAGCAACCCAGCCTTCAGAGCATGCTGCCTGATGAGAATCATGGAGCATTGTTATGTGTTTTGCAAGGGGGGTGTGTGTGTGTGTGTGTGGAACAGATGCAACTCAAATGCCTTAGCATCCTTGAGAACCTTTTTAAAAACTCATTTGTTCATGGTCGAAAAACCTTGGGTCACCTAAAACCACACCACCATATACTTATTCACCCCTCTGACATTCATAAAGCCTTTCACAAGCATCATGCCAAATTCTCCTAATTTCAGCAATCATTATTTTAATTCCATGCATTGATTTGGAATTTAGAAGGCATGCAATTAGCAGCAAAATAAAGCATTTACCACATTTAGATATATGTGTATATAAGCTGTCATGGACTGTTTTCTAGGAGTTGTTTTTACTCTTTAGACTGAATATTTATAATTTGATATGCAAAGACCCCACATTGGGGTGGTCAGTTGAAGGGTAGGAAACAGGCAGGGATCCAGATAGGACATTAGTAAGTGGATAGTTTTAATTTGAGGTAGCTGTTCTGAAAGTACTAACAGTCCTTACTGTGCTACAGGATTTGACATAGCACTTAGTGGTGGATGTGAAGCAATAAAGCATTGCACTTTTGAATGCTGCTTTTTCCATAAGTCTCTAGTCCACATTAATGGTACTTATTAAAAAAAATCCTCACAGAAGGTTGAGGATTCCTCAACAGCTCTTTGTATTTGAATAATCAAATCGATTGCATAAAAATGAAATAAATGTAAACACACTTAGCAAAATTTCCTCAGGATCCCTTTCCACTTTCCATCCCAGAAAACTGAATAATAATAATAATAATAAATAATAATCTTACAAGGAAAAAAGGATTTAAAGACAGGAAGAAAGAAAAGTGTAAGAATGTAAAAAAAAAATGACAAAGTATAAGGGACATAGTTGAAAATATAAATGCTATATACTGGAATACCTCCAAGTGAGATGGCAACCAACCCTGTGTAACGTTTCAATGGTATCCATTTGTAAAAGCCGTTGCAATCAAAGGCCCCTAAAATTGTACAATTGTTAATGTCATCAGTGTGATACATGGGAAGAGATTGTGATTTTTATTTATTTTTTGCATGGATTTATCAAAAGTCTCAAGTGTGTGTGGTGCCAGCATGAATATTTAGAAAAGCTGCAATCTAGTCCTGCTAACATCTCTGTGGATTCAATTCTAGGGATATTTTTCCAAGATCACATCTGAAAAGTAAATTTCTTAAGCTGCTGTTAGTAAATGGATGGCGTGAAAGGTATTAAAAAGGCAGCTACTTTCTGTAGAATGTT